CCTGCAGACTTTGAGGTATCAAGAGTTACCTGTATTTTTTTTCTGTGCATTCTGATGAAAATCTCTATAGTGGACAGACCCTTACCTTTGGGATCATGATTCGAACAAATCTGCATAGGTTTTAGTTATGTCCAGAGTCTTTCTAATAAGTTTCAGTTTTCTTGCCCAGCAGTTCCTGAGGAAAATATACTATACTTTTACGAGGGGTTATCAAAAAGTTCGTGGACTGAGGCTATAAAATTAGTAGTATTCAGTCTGTGCTTTCAAAATTTATATGGAACATAAAACAACAAAAAATAAAGAAATGTTGAAAATTTTAGCCTGATACGTTCATTATTTGCCAAATTATTATAAAATGAAAACGAGATTATATGATCACCCGGCGCTGTCGTCTTTTATTTTCATGACGTCCGATAAAGTCATTGTTTTTTCAATGTCCACTTCTTCTACCTAATACACTTATTTTGATGAGATTCCCTGGAGCTGAGTAAGGACCCAAACTCGCCTTGTTTATATGACTTTACAATGTCATGAACAGTGGCCTTCAATGAATATAATATTCCAAATGGATTAATACATTGGGAGAGATCTTCGCTTGATTGTGCTGGCATATATTGCTTTTGGGAGTTCAATATCTACAACACATGATCCACGTCATTTTTTGACATGATTGATATTTCACACCTTGACTGCAAATCGACATTAAACGTGTATCCCCTTTCTCTCTGAATCTATTTTGACATTAAAAGACAAGTACTCTTGATGCCTATTATTTCTCTGTAGCCAATTTCAATATATTTTAGGTCTACACCAGTTTTTTCAGGGGCAAAACTTATTAGAATGTTTGAAACGGAAACCCCTCCCCCTTTTAACGTCATTTTCAAGGCCTCATTTGTTTGAACATTCTGTGTAAAATTTACGATAAAATTTCGTAGAACTTCAAGAATGAAGTGAAAATTTCATATTTTGTGGAACAATTGTGTCCCGACACATACCTGAATTAACGGGATTTTTGGATATCAAATGCTCATTTCAAATAAGTTTGTCTCAGTTACACATTGGTCGCAAAAACGTCGTGTTCGAGGTTGCGCCGCCTGGACATACCATTGCTTACAAAAACATTACTAATTTATTAAAAAATAAAATTTATGATTTGTGGTTTATTCTGTAGATAGAAAAGATGATGCTAAAAAGATATTCTAAAATTCACTGATGTGCCTAAAGCGGTTTTAATTTTACGGCGCTAGTCCACGAACTTTTTGATAACCCCTCGTAATTGACCCTCCCCTTGAAATCTTTCACTATAAATACACTGTGCCAAGTTTCTGTTAAAATTGGCCCACTGATTCTGGAGAAGAAGATGAAAATGTGAGATGTTTATGACAATTCTGAAAGATGAGAGACAATATGGAGAAATTTTGATCAGAAATACTCAGCCTTTTGCTAATGTGAGCTTAAAGATATGTTCTTAATATTTCTCTGGCCCTAACCCAGAACCTTACTGATTAAAGGATGTTCATGTGCACATTGATTGTTCCTTTATCTATATACATGTTCAACTTAGTTAAAAAAAACCCCTGAAGAATGTAAAAAGAGTGACACAAATATGTAATTGATTTCCTTAACATACCCTGACTCCCATATGTCTTGGATATTCGTTCCTGTTTACTCATGGACATGATTTCTCTATCAACTGTGTTTGCCACAAAACCCTCTTTATTTTTGTCAGACACCTCATTTTCCTTTGAATTTCTCTCCTTGCTCTTTTGTTGCTGTTCCTGTCTTTTTTGTTCTCTGACTAATCTTTGCTCCTTGTCTTGTCTTCCCTGTCTCTTTATGTCTGCTGCTTTGCTTATGTTTGAAGTTCTGGTGTCTACAGAACTGTCAGAAGTAGAAATGTGTAGAAATGTGTCATCCTTTAAAATTTACATGGCAAGGTAATTATGGTTTGGTATAAAGCACCTGAGTCCCAATGCCTTTACTTTATAACAAACTACAGGTACTGTGAGCAATGAGCTATGATACCCCCTGCCTTCCATGTAAATATAATAGCAGTGTCCATGTTTTGCTACAGGAAACGAAAAATATGTGTTGGATCAAAAAGTAAATTAGGAGGTGCAGAATGGCAGTGGTATAAGAGGAGTTGCGGATAAGAAATGGGTACCCCAAAGCATATCAAACGGACAGACAGATGAACGGACATCCTGATTACTATATATATCCTCCCACTTTTCAAGCAGGGGGTATAAAAATAAATATAGGTAATCAGAGATTACAGAGCACACCTCAATTAATGCTGTCTTTAAGTGAGGCAATGTCCAACATTAAAATAATAATGTAGTAGTGTACATCCCAAGACGCAACATTTCTGCAATTTTGATCTGATAGGGCTTGCAGTTACTTGGGAACAGACTTATCCAAAAACTTCAAACTAATCATTCAGCAAGAAAATTTTATTCAAATTCAGTATCTGAAGCAAGTTTGAAAGTGTTCATCCCTTGATGCATCATCCATGCAAATTTGGTTCAGATAGGACTTATAACTCCTTAGTTAAGACCTGCATCCAAAACTTTAACCTGGTCCATTACCTGGGAGAAGTATGTCAGATCCAACATCTGAAGCAAGCCTGGTAGTGTGCATCCTCAGATGTATCATTGATGCAAGTTTGGTCGACATAAGCTCTTTAGTTACTTTAGAATGAAGCTGCTCTAAAAATTTAATCCCATTTATTCATCTGGAAATCGTAGGTCAGATCAAACATCTGGAGCAAGCAAGGTACAGTCCCTGAAACATTCTACTTTCCCACCTGACCAGTGAACAAATGGAGAGCGAATGGTGAGTGAACAATGTGTGAACACTGAATGCAACTTAGTGAATGACGTGTGAACGGTAAGTGAATGCAGAATGCAAACAGAGCGCAAAGTGAACGGTGAACAACGATGAACTTAAGATGAACGATTTATTCGGAATGCCTCTGATCTTTTCCTTGTATAAAACTATTCTATTGTATTATATTGTCAGGTGCTAAAATATAAATAAACAACAATAAAAAGATAAATAAATAATTAAAACAAATTTTTCTGTACGTACGTACATGTATTATGTTTTAAAATCAATATTTTATTAACATGATTTTCAATGCTGTGAAACATAAGCAATGTACCAAATGCATGTAGATAAAATAAATCTACTTATAAAATAAATATGCTTATTTTTTTAACTAATAAAATAATGTGGATTTTAGAATCATATTGAATGGCAAACATATATCTAGTTAGGCCACATTTTTTAAATTTCTTGGTTAACGTTTTTTTTTTTCTTCTAAAATTAGGGTCGGTCGAGAGAAATAAAAATAAAATGAAGCTTTTGTGTTTTCATGACAGAAATGCAGTTTCCAGCAAACAATGTGAGGAAGCAAAATGATTAGGGAATTGTTTCATGAGTATTTGGCACATTTTTATAGCTCAAGGATATGATATCCCATGTTGATTCCAGTGTTAGGATTTTAAGAACAGCTACTGTACAAACAGGTTTTCAAAGGAAATTATATATTACATTTTCCTCACAAAATAATTTATTTAGACTCTTTATAACATTTATAACATATTTTATTTTCATTTATGGTTTTGCTTGTATAATGAAGTCGGTAGACTTTTAAAAAATTTCAAATTTGCATTTTATTTTTTTCTACTTCCTTGAAAAATAGTGTCAGTGGATCTGTAAACCAAGAAATTTAAAAAATGTCGCCTTACAGTGAAAGAAGGAAAAATCTCTAATTATAAGCTTTATAAACATAAAGTAAAAAAATAAATAAATATCGATGAACAGTAAACGAATTTGAAAATGGGAAAGTAGAATGTTTCAGGACTGTAGTTGCATCCTTAGATGTATCATCCATTTAAGTTTGGTCAGCATAGGGCTTAATAGGCCTACAGTTATGCTAGAATGAATCTGCTCCAAAAACTTAAACTCATTCACTCATCTGGTAAATGTAGGTCAGATCCAGCATATAAACCAAGCCTTATAGTATCTTCCATGAAAGTTTGGTCAACATAGGGTTTATAGTTACAGGTAAACTTTTGTATCTCGACATTGGAAATGTCGACAACCTGGGATAAGTCAATGTCCATCTGCAATCCCGCTAGTACATGTATTTTTTTTATAATCTAGAACAGTCTAATAGGGAGAAATACCCCTTCTTGGGTTTTTTAGAGAAGGCGCCAATCCAAAACAAGAGTTCCATGGGCCACATTGCTCACCTGAGCACATTGGCTAGTTAAAAAACAAAAATCAGCTTAGTATTGAAAAGTTTACTTGTTGGGGGAGAGGGAATTTGAATATTCTATTGCTTGAGAATGTCACTATTTAATAATTAAAGCATACATGTTTAATTTTTCAATATTTGAAAAGTAAATTTTTAAAGATTTTTCTAACAGATTATATGATCTCCAATTGTGACCCCTTGCGAACACCCCCCCCCCTCCCTCCCTCCAGAAATTATTTAGATAAATCTAAATCTTCTCTACTTGCAGATGCTTATATGTCAATATGACTCAATAAAACTTTCTTGTTCTGGAGAACATATATATTTGTGCAAAACTTTGATCCCTCAATGTTGCCCCACCCTTACCCTAGGATCATGATTTGAACAAACTTGAATCTACACTACTTGAGGATGCTTTCACATGAGTTTCATCTTTCCTAGCCAAATGGTTCTTGAAAAAAAATTTTTAAAGATTTTTCCTATATATTCCTATGTAAAACTTTTACCAGCCATGGCGGCCTTGTCCTACTCCCGGGGGTCATGATTTGAACAAACTTGAGTCTAGACTATATTGAGGATGCTTCCACATGCAGGGCTCGATATTAACTTTTTTCCCTACTTGTCCATTCGGACAAGTGACCAAGACATTTACTTGTCTGAAGTTCAACTTCACTTGTCCAAAAAAATTTCAATAAAGATCTAATAGTTTCAATTTGAAAATTAAAATAAAGTCCATTTCACATGACATGTGCTTGATTGATTCGTAATGTTATTGATAAATACAACAAACACATTTACGAAACGAAATTTAATCTAGACTTTCTGTCCTGACAATAACATATATGTCCACAAGTGACCCTATCAACATCAAACAGAATCCAAACTTTGGTTCGTATCGGTTTCAGTAGTATGCAATTAGTGAACTTTGATTCCGATCAAATATGAACTCAACATTAATATAGCGATACAAATCGGGATCAAAGTCTGGTTTTTATGTACAGCCTCCGACTTGAAACTACTGATTAGCTTTCAACAGTTGTTCTTTTTATTATTTATAGACTCCTTTACATTAAAATGCACTTGTCAAATCGAACAAGTAGCCAGCAATATTCACTTGTCCATATTTTCTTTTCACTGGTATGGACAAGTTTTAAGTTGAGCCCTGACATGAGTTTCATATTTCCTGGCCCAATGGTTCTGGAGAGGATTTTAAAAAGATTTTTCCTATATATTCCTATGTCAAACTTTGATCAGCCATTGTGGCCCTGCCCTACCCCTTGGGGTCATGATTTGAACAAACTTAAATCTACACTACCTGAGGGTGCTTCAACATTTCATTTTCCTGGCCAAATGGTTCTTAAGAAGATTTTTAAAAGATAACATTCATTTTTCATTATTTCATAATTACCCCCCATTTGAAGAGGGTTTTCCTTGGACATTCATTTGAACTTTAATCCCCTTCACCCAAGGATATTTTGTACAAGTTTAGTTGAAATTGTCCCAGTGGTTCTTGAGAAGAAGATGAAAATGTGAAAAGTTTATGACAACAATGCCAATGCCAACAATAATGACAACATCAACAATAATGACGACAACAGACAAATTTTGATCAGAAAAGCTCACTTGTGCCTTCAGCTCAGGTGAGCTTAAAATATATTGACAGACCAAAGAGCTTATTACAATGCCACCCATCGAAAAATCTGTATATTTATTGGGCATCAAAAAGTGCACTGTTTCTCGAGGGGGGTGTATTATCCATACTTCAAGTGCCTGTGGTTAAATTTCATACAAATACATTGTAATTCCATCATTTTTCACTTACATTTAAAAAATAAATTGCAACTATTTGTCATGACACTCTGCAAATTGATTGTTGAAAAAATCATATGATACAAAATCAAATGAATCTTGATAACTTTGTATCAAATTCTTTTATAAAAATAAAAATTAAGGTGGTCATCTAGTAATAAAGTGCTTGGACAGGCAATAAATAACAAGAGGCCCATGGGCCACATCGCTCACATGAGCACTGTGGCTAGGGAAGAAAAAAGCAAAAATTAGTTTATTATTGAAAAGCTTAAACCCAAAAGTGGTCCCAATCAATCCTTAAAGGGGAGAGGGTATGATTTGGACAAACTTGAATCTACACACACTAAGGATGGTTGCATATTTCTTTGACTACCTGTGGCTTTATTGCCCTTTACATTTGAATTTACATTGTGACCCCACCCTCACCCCAGGGGTCACGACATTCACAAATTTGAATCTACACTACATGAGAATGCTTCCATATAAATATGACTAATCATGGCTTTGCTTTTCTTGAGAAGAAGTTTGTTCAAATCATGACTCCCAGGGGTAGGGAGGGGTCACAATAGGGAAATAAAAGTTTTACATAGGAATATGTAGGGAAAATCTTTAAAAATCTTCTTCTCAAGAGCCACTGGGTCAGAAAAGATAAATCTTAAATGGAAGCATCCTCAGGTAGTGTAGAATCAAGTTTGTTCAAATCATGACCCCCAGGTGTTATAGTCCAGTCAAAATAGCCAAAAAATTATAAAACCTTAAACTAATTGCAACAGAATTTTCTTTAGTATTTTATGTTAGTTCAATATGTGGGCAATGAAATATGAAAAATCGGAAAAATTCCATCGAGTCAATATTTTGAAATTTAGGTCGTAATTATCTAATATTTGGTTGGAAAAAAAGAGGAAAATATGTGGAAAATTACACATGATTTTTTTAAATTGGCGATCAGTGCTTGAATTAATTAAAAAAAGAAATATACAGGAATAAAATCTAGAAGATATAATTATTATTTATAATAAATTAATGCGTCATGTTGAATAATATACCATGCTTAAACAGAGAAAATTCGAATTATAAAATTTTTTTTTCAAACGCCTGATAAACATTGGTTATATGACTGTTCTTTCGTCCTTATAGCAACAAACATTAAATGTGAAATAGACATTAATGGAATATTTTTCAATATTTTCTGTGTTCAATTTATAATTATCATGGGCCAATTTAAGTTAAATGTCGGAGGAAATTCGGAACATACGTTTTTTACTAACAAAATTAAGTAACTTTGTGCTCAAAGTTAGTTTAACACAGAAACTTTATAATAAGTCTATGAATGTTCAGTTAGTATAAATTACTTGCTTTTTTGCGTATTAACATTAAGAATAAAAGTGAAATTTCTTACAGAAACAGAGAAATTTCGAATCGTCTATCATTTGTCTCTCTCGTATGGGACAACCATTTGATTCTGAAGGGGGGTAGACTTTGGAAATAAATGATATATCCTCGAAAATGTTGAAAATAAATAATATGACCTCGCTCAACTGGACATGCAGGGAATGAAAAATCTGTCACTAACCCCCCCCCCCCACCCCAAAGAATTAGAGTTCTGTTGTCGTCTTGGATTTGATGTTTGGAAATAAATATAATCCTTCGCCTACATAAATAAATAATCTGATTCGAAAGAATTTGCCAGCCCCCCCCACCTGAATCACGTAAATTATTTCCTCTGACGGGTATATGATAAGGCGTATTTCGTTTCCCAGTTCCTTTCCTCTGCAACGTCAAAAGTTATGACCTGACGTAATAATCTCTCTTGCATGGTTGTCGTCTTAATATTCACTTAAAATAACATTCACGTAGCATCCATTGCTTTTATACAGTATACCCCAGGATTTTTGAATATATGCAAAGGCGACGTGGACCAACATTGCTTTGATTTGGTTGACATTCGTTTTAACCTAGAAAATCAACGGGGTTCATAGGCGTCGGAACTGGGAGGGGGGCTAAGCCCCCCCCCCCCACTCCCGCTATTTTTGCAAAAATAGACATTATATGAAGGATATGGAGATAAAGAAAAATATTCAATATAAAAGTCCATAAAACAATACAAAATAGAAGCAGAGCACCACGAACCTCCGAAACATCAAAGGTGGGATCAGGTGCAATGGAGGAGTGAGAATCCCCTGCTGACCGGTCACACCCGCCGTGTGCTCCTTGTCATGATCGGGAAATAACGGAAAAATCCGCCATCAATTCAGTGTGTAGATAATAGACTAACAATAAGTATGAAAAATGTGAGTCAGCATTTGTCTCAATGATAAATTGTATCAGCTGAGTAGGTCATTGTAGCGATCATAAAATTAACGAAATGACGACTTTAAACGAGACTGTTGAGATTATGTTTAGATCCCCCCACACACACACACACTTTCAATTTGCATCCGACGCCCATGGGGTTACAATGTAATCACGCAAACAGGAGTGACAGGCCCATCACATATTTTTTTAGCGTGGAAGGGTTATTTTTGGCTATTCTCCATTTTATAAAAGGTAAAATAACTAAATAAATGTAATTAGTTAAGATAACTTGTTTCGAACAAGCTCTGGGGTTAAATATTTGGGGGGGGGGGGGTGAGGTTCTGTCTAGTGCCCAAAAGTAGCTATATATGAGCAAGTCTTTCAGATCATCATGCAGTAGAAAGGAGCGCATAAAAAATAATAAATTTACAGACATCTGATTTATTTTTCAACGAGAAAATTAAGCGGTCCAGCTTTGTTTTGTATCACTGAGTATTAGTGTTTATAAATGGTCTTCGATTTCATTTTATTTTCTTATGATTAAACCAAAATCCATGTGATAATTTTCCTTCATGATATTAAATGTTTTGGTTGAATATTGCATATTTCAAAATATGCTTATTACGTGAATTTATACCGAGACAAGAATATAAATGCATTAGAATATATTGCAACGAAAATATGTGTGAGAAAATTCAAGTTTAAATGCAGCAGTAACGTTAAGTGGGACTATATCTACTTCAGCTTTCATTTCCAATAATAAATCTGGATAGATCTAAGTTATGGGCTGTTTTGATCAAATCGACTAATCGCAGAGATATAAATAGATCCATGTATTCTTAAAAAAAATATTATATATCCTCTGATTTCAGCATGAAAAAATGAAAAAAACACATGATACTCTATTGCTATACCCACTCACTAGATCTAAAGGGTTCCTTCTAGAAAATGAATAATTAATTAAATTTTTGAAAGTACATGAGATTCATTGCAATATTCGATTTCATAATTCTCGGTATTACGATTTCTAAAATATTGCTCTGTGCATTAATTGACATCAATTCAGCTTCCCATGTTATTTCCGGTAAATGTTGATCAGAATTCCCAAAATATCGAGACATAACACTTAGCTATATAGAGTAGGGAGGTTAGGGATGGAGGACTACCGAAGTTTGTAGTGTTCATTTATTCCGTTGACATACATTGTTAATAATAATAAATAATATGTTCAAAACAAACAAATAAGCGGGCATTACTCATTTAATAAATAAATTTAAAACAAGCAACGGTTGACTATTTGTGCTTAATCTTAAGAGAATTAATGGAACTTTACCCTCTAACAGCGACATCAGTGATATGTCCAGTGTATATAGAAAATATAACGTACTGGGAGGAAATTATAACTGAGATGGTGTTCCATAGAGACTTTACTGCAACAGGGAATTTACGCTATGAACTGATCAATAAAAAGGTCTAGCTCTTGTGGATAGTAAGAAATCAACAACTATTAAAACTAGTGTACATATTTTTAACTTTTTTCCTATGCAAGTCTAATTTAAGAAAAGGTATGGGCCTACGATGGATTATTAAACTGTAGCTCCTTTATGTTGAAAAGTTATTGTGTCAAAAAGAATATAATTATACCCTTGCTTATTTTCCTTTTCCCCCTATTCAGTTACTAGTAATATTATGCCAGAAACTTTTCAAAAATATTACTTTTCTAACTTTTTGATAAAACAATTCTAATGTATGACGTACTTTAGTAGAAAATGACGTCAACAGTGAGTAGTATGGTGCGGCATACCAGATATAAAATGAAAGTCATATTTCCTTATTTTTGGAGTCGATTTCTATGAAAACCACTCGTCCGATTTTTTCCGATTTTTGTATGGAGTTACATTATACTATCGGAAGAAACACTACTATGAGAAAAATTCTGTTGCAATTAGTTTGAGGTCAAATTTATAATGACTGGACTATTAGGTGGGGCCACAATAGGGAATCAAAGTTTTACATAGGAAGATATAGGAAAATCTCAAGAATCACTTGGCCAGATGAGAAAAACTTATTTGGAAGCATCCTCAGGTACCGTAGTGTAAAATCATGCTTCTTCAAAACATGACCCCCAGGGGTAGGGTGGGACTACAACGGAAAATCACAGTTTTAAATAGGAACATACAGGAAAAATCTTTAAAAATCTTCTTATCAAGAACCACTGGGCAAGGAAAGAAAATACTTAGGTGGAATCATCCTCAAGTGGTGTAGAATCAATTTTGTTCAAATCATGACATGGATAAGTGGATCTTGCGAGGATTTTTTAAAGATTTTTCCTGTATATTTCTATGTAAATCTTTGATTCCCTATTGTGGCCCCCTACCCCGGGGGTTAATTTAGAATCTACACTATCCCAGGATGTTTCCACACAAGTTTCAGCATTTCTGGCCCAGAGGCTCTTGAGAAGATTTTTTAATGACCCCACCCTATTTTTGTCTTTTTTTAATTATCTCCCCTTGTGAGGGGACTTGGCCCTTCATTTTTATAATTTTAATTTCACTTCACTCAAGAATGTTTTGTAGCAAGTTTGGTCAAAATTGGCGCGGTGGTTCTTGAAAAACAGACAGACGAACAGACGACACTGTCAGACAAAATGTGATCAGAAAAGCACACTTGAGCCTTCAGCTCAGGTGAGCTAAAAATCAATCTATCAATCGGATATAGGTTGAAGGCCAAGGTATCTATTTATTTAAGAAATAAGGTATCATTTTTTGAGTTTTATTGGGATGTAAAACGGGTTGGTCACGTGATCAAATCCCATAAAGCCCAAAGGGCTTTATGGAAGATTTGATCATGTGACCAACCCATTTTACATCCCAATAAAACTCAAAAAATGATACCTTATTACTTATATTTACATTTGTGACTTATTCATACTTAAAATTTGCCTGATTGTGACGTTTATCGTGTGAAATGCATTATTTTTCAAACTCAACGGCATGTATGTAATCCACGGAACGCGCGTCGACCCTTTATGACGTCACTGAGAAATTACATCTAACGTTTATCTATACGCACATCTATGACCTCTTGACCCCGTACCTGTATTTATACAGTTATAAATATGCTTGCTTTCAGTAGTGTTATATAAAGGAAAACATTTGCAAATGTAAATATTTTTAAATATCTCGCAAAAAGTAGTGACATTCTGGTCATGGGACAGACTATAATAGTGATATTCCTAACCTGTATGCTGCAAGATCTTTAAGTAAAACTTTGTCAAGGTTTCTGCTATTTTCTTTTTCCAAAGCATTTGTTGGAAGATGCTGAAATAAATTAAATTTGATAGTTTTATCTATCCTTTTACAATACTAGTATACAAATATGACATTTACTGACAGACCAAATTAAAGCCTTCATACTCACTTTATAATATAACAACAATACAACCCTGTAAATGATCAATAAGACAATGCCACACTAGTAATAAGTCCATGGGACATGAATTTTCTGCCAAGCTCTGTGTCTACATTATAATCATGTTAACCTCCAAACAACAATGTGCTAATATTTACAAAATAGCTTTTTAACAGAATATTCACAAATGAAAGCCTTTGCCTTATGAATTCAAAGTAGAACAGCTACATGTACATGTACTAGCTGCTGTTTGAGCCAACTGACACCTGGACTAATTTTGTCAAAATCTACACCAAATGGTTACTGCAATATTATCCATTATATTCAGCCAAAATTTGTAAAAAATAAATACAGCAGTAAAAAATAACCTGTTATACTGTATATTTTGTGGCAGAAAGGTTTTTTTTAAAGAAGATAATGGTAAATTTTTCCATTATATTCCATTATATTCAGTATTGTTCAGTTATAGATTCTTTTTTTTTTTTTCATGCTAGTTCCACAAAGAGCTGTTTTTTGCAGTGAGATATTTTATGCTGGTTCTGAAATATCTGTTTCATTATTTCTTATGAATTCTTTCATTATACATGTTATATTGTGACAAATATGATAGTAAATAAAAACTGAAAGTCTAGGGAAAAAATTGAGCCAATGTATTATAAAATTAACACATAGTACAATGTAATATCTAAAAATGAACATCATAGTCATTCATAGATCCCAACTTTTTTGTTTTTATTTCCTGAATATACAAGATAACTTTGATCAATCTGCTTAAATTCTGGAAAAGTTTAAGACTTTTAAATAATTTTCTTGTTCATTAAATTTTCAATGCGAGGAAAAAAAAAACATTTCGTTAGTGCAGAAAGGTCACATTATTGATTAGTATTTAAAGCAGTTTAAAACTTTTTCTTTGCCACAATCGTGAGGTGTTTTTTTTTTAAAAGAACAATAGTTTATTTTGCCCCATGGTTTATTTGGATAAAACATTACAGGGAAATTGTTGAAGCTGTGATTTTGATTACGATACTTTCTGTGCAAAAATGTCATATTAAGTGTAATGTAGTGTCAAAAGAAGCAAACTGACCTCAATTTTTGTTTTGATTTTTAATTAAGGTATAGATTAAGAAGCTAAAAAAATATACTTGACAAAAAAATTTAAGACTTTTAATAACAGGATCCAACCTTGTTAAGAAATTTCAAACATGATACTGTACCTTTGGAGTTCCCTTTGTAAAGTATTCTTTACTTTTTCCACCAATTACTGTGTCTCTACCTAAAATCTTCACCATTTCTGCCAGGCAGTGTAAGCTTTGGGCTGCCAAGTCCTCATGACAGTCTCTGACCCCCAGAAGTATCTAAACACATAAATTGTCATACAAAGTCAAATGATAAGGTAAAACCGTTGCACTCTAAACTTGTTCTAACTTGATGCAAGTGAGTAAAGGTTAAATATGGGGGGTTCTACCCATACCGAAAAAAGTTATAACTAAGTTATAACTAAAGTATAACTTAGTTATACCTCAGGCTCTGAGGTACAAAAAAGTTATAACTAAAATGTAACTTTTTTGGACTTTGTCATTTTCATGTATAACTAAAATATAACTTTTTGGACTTAGCCATTTTCATGTGTAACTAAAACATAACTTTTCTGGACTTTGTCATTTTCATGTATAACTAAAATGTAACTTTTTGGACTTAGCCATTTTTATGTATAACTAAAACATAACTTTTCTGGACTTTGTCATTTTCATGTATAACTAAAATGTAACTTTTCTGAACTTAGCCATTTTCAAGCATAACCAGTATAAATGTACAAGTTTTAATTAAATTTGAATGAATTTTGATCATGTTCAAAATGTTGGGTTTTCTTGTTTTTCAAACACTGCAGCAGAAAAGTTCCGTCAATTCCTATTTCTAATCAGAGGGAAAATTCAATAGGAATATATAGATATTTTTTTTTTAAGAAAAAAAGGGACTGTCTGAGGGCTCTTAGACAATATTATTATTGTTTACTACCAATGATTGATTTCTCATTCATAATAATTATGCTGTCCACAGTCAAGTTCAACAGAAGGGATGTGAAATAAAATCTTGTAAATTAATACATCTATAAATGAGAATCTCTATCTCTCTCTCTCTCTCTCTCTCTGGTGTGTGAAGTGTGAGGTTGTTTGTCATGTGTGTGTATAATAAATATAATTGTCTAATATTAAATTATATATGTCACGTAAGATTCAACTGCAGTTGGGAATAATTTCTCTCTCAGTAGTCGGAAAATAGCTAATGTTCTTTGTTGATGTACCCAACTTTAAATTAATATTATCTCTCTCTCTCTCTCTCTCTCTCTCTCTCTCTCTCTCTCTCTCTCTCTCTCTCAGAAAATACGTATTCATTGAGACCCTGATGAGACTTAATATTTGTCTTGTAAATTATAATAATGCATGTACATCTGAAGTTGGGAATAAATATTCCATCATTCTGGGGAAAATATAAATGCCCTGCAAGAGATATAAACAGTAAAATGTTGTAATCCCATGAAGTCATGTGAATTTTGCACGGATTTTTCTTCGTGTGCAAAACTGTGTAAATTTCCCTATTGTTTACTGTGACACAGGTGTTTGTACTAGGTGACCTTTGTGGTCAGCAATTCGTAAATTTCAGCTATGTATATTATGCAATGGTACAATTCTACACAGGTTCTTTGAAATCTGAAGAAAATTGGTCGTAATATGGGTGGCTAGAAAGATAAATTACAGCAGAGAGTATGTGCAGGTTCATTTTAAACAGATATTACGATGTTGGAAATAAAGACTGCCAGTTATGTTAACATTTAAGCAGAGGACTAGTACATGTAGATTTTATTGTTTGCATAATTAAATAACCCAGTTATAATAGTTATTTTCACAAATAAACAAATATTAAATTCAAAATGGCGGCGACGAAAAAATATGGCGGCCCCCGATGTCCGTTTTGTTGATAGAATAAATTCAAAATTTTAACACCAACTGGTGTTTTAATATTCAAATTAAGTTTTAAATTGCACAATTATGTTTATTTGGATTTAAAATAAATTTAATTATGAATTATTTATTTATTTTTTCCTATCACGTGACGTTTTTGAGGTCAATGATTGGTCAACTACAGAGCGCGGATTTTTTAATGGACGATTTGAATGTTGTGATGTTGATAGTGTTGATAGAAAATAAGGAGATAAAACCAGTTGGTAAGGCGATATTCATGCTAACATTTTAATGATTTTTGGTAAAGAATACTTAGTACCTCTCGAAGAACATTACAAAAAGAAGAAATATTGGGAATGAACAAAATTCTAGGTGTGTGAATCTTGTATTTCTTGTTTGTTTGATTGGTATCTGTCGAATGACAAACACTGAAGCAAAGAAATTGAAAGTATTTGAAACACATAATATTTTTTCAGCATTTAGTATAATATTGATAAAATATGTTGTTCTTTGTCACAGTTATTCCCAAAATTGTTTTTAGATTCCCTGAACTGTTATAATAATGTGAAGCCTTATAAACATCGACATGATTATGACATGATCTATAGCTGCAAAGTTAATGTAATGAATTGAGTAATTTAAGATTAATTTTCTATTTTTTTTTTTTATAAAAGCAGCATACTGGTATATGATTTTTCCATGAGCATCTCTGACTTATGTGCTGACCTGGAGTGAAATTCTTCAAAAATATTATGTGCTTAAGGTAAGTAAAATAATATTTTTTTTTCATTTCAAAATTCAATAAATCTATCAATCTAACACTAATTCCTGTAAGTATAGATCTTTAACTAGAAAACTGACCAGTCAGCAAGGGCCCCGCCATGGGTTAGAATTATAAGGGTGCAGCTTCAAAAATATATGACAAATAAGAAACAGCAACTGTATTCTTAAAATTTCAAGATAATTCCTAATTATCCAAAAACCTGTTAATAATATCCTTATATTTACATAAGGCAGTAAAGAACAACTCAATACTGAATGTATATCTGAACAATAATGAAGCTTGTGTTATATAAATTATTTAAAATGCCAGCCTTCAATGAATGCAAATAAATATCATGAAGGCTTGACCTTAACTTCAAAACAAACAGCAGTTGCAGACAAAGGTTTTCATTAATCTTAAAGTGACAGATAAAGATAAGCCTTCTAAATTTTCTGCAGCAGACTAGATAGTTAATTCCAAGGGATTAATTGTACTTCTCTCTCATCATTTTCCTCTTAATTTATAATAAGAACTTTTTCAGTAATGATAGAATGAGGTTTTTATCCTACTACCTTAAAAATCAATAATATTCTTGAATTTACATGAAGCAAGAAAAAAAAAAAAAAATAAAAATATATATCTTCTTTAATCTATTTCTTGTTTTAAGAATTCAATGAAATCAGAACTCATTGTGTAGGGTATTTCAACAAAAATAAAGTAGAAACATTGATACTTCAATTCCACTTAAATGGACTTAACTTCAAAACAAACTTCATTTGTAGACAGTGGTGGTAATTAATCTCAATGTGACAGATAAAGATAATGCTTTGGATTTTCTTCAGGAGGAAAGCTAATTAATCACAAGGGACTCATTCATTGCAGTATTCAGTTTACAATGGGAACATTTTCAGAAGTTATCTCTCTTTGCCAATTCATTCTTATATAAAGTTAAAGAATCTACCCCACCACCCCAGCTCCAAACCAGAGGACATAGAGAAACAAACATAGCATCAAAATATGTCTTTTTGCCTACTTAACTACCATACCAAATTTGAACTTAATTGGACAACCATAAAAAAAGTTATTAGGAAAAAACAGAAAATTTGTGGACGGAAGAATGACAGACGGACAGACAGACAGAGTGATTACTACAGGGCACCCGCAAATCCTTGCGGGGCCCTAATTAGTCTTGTTTTCCATGTTATGGATGAATTAATGAATTAATTGATATGAAAGAGTGGTTTCAATTTGATATTCAGATGGAAATATCTAAATTTTGAACCTTTAGTGGCTTTACAATTTTTTGCAGAATTGAAGAAAAATGATTTGAAGGTTGAAAATGCAAGCATATTTCAATGAAAACGTTGACGACTATGAGTCACACTGCCTGCCAGCCAAGTCGTCTGACCAGACCGGTCCCTAAATGAGGGACACAGACCACCAGCCAAGTCCCTCGGCCAGCTCAGCTGACTACCAGTGCGGCCTGTCAGGGATGACCAACTTTATCAACTAGCTCGGCTGACTACCAGTGCGGCCTGTCAGGGATGACCAACTTTATCAACTAGCTCGGCTGACTACCAGTGCGGCCTGTCCAGCCCTTCAACTATCTTGACCTATTACCAATGCGGCCTGTCATTGAAGTCAAACTAGATTGGCTTACTACCAGTACAGCTTTTCAAGGGAGACGGTCAAGTCCATCAAATAACTTGACCTACTACCTGTCAAGGGATGGCCAAGTCCGTCAACTAACTTGACCAACTACCGGTGCGACCTGTCAAGGGATGGCCAAGTCCGTCAACTATCTTGACCAACTACCAGTGTGGCCTGTCAAGGGATGGCCAAGTCCTTCAACTAACTTGGCCTAATACGATCGTCGCATGTCAAGGGATGGCTAAGTCTGTCAACTAACTCAGCCTACTTCCAGTGCAGCCTATCTTCAAATAATAAAGATAAAAACCACAACTGTATACCTGCAAGGATGCCTGTGGAAGGACTGGGGTGGTATGCAGCTAAGAACTGTAACTGAAATCACTGCTTAGAACCTTTCTCTATTTTGAAGTACAGCTAGATCATGAATAAATAAGGTGTTAATATTTAAAAAGTTATGTCTATTTATACAAATTAGCAAGAGTAGAATGCAGTATGCTAGGTAATTGTACAAAGACCTTAATTGCTATATGCTAAAAATGTATTCTATAAAACAACCAGAAAAATTTCAATCTGTTGAAGATGACATGATGAAAAATAAGGTAGACTTGAAAACATGCATGTGCATTCATTCAGCTGTATTTGACAATGAGCCAAGCTATCTTTATCATGTTTATTAAGTAAAATTGTTATTGCCTTTAATTTATTTTAAATAATCTTTCTTGTATAAATTTCAAAAATCTCTTTGTGTAAATTTTAATGAGTAGCTTTTTAAAAGCTTATAATTGAGTAAATCCACAACGGGTTAACATAAAGTGTATAATTTCACTGGAACTTTTACAAATTTTTATTAATAGGTATAACTTTTTATAGTTATAACTTTTTGTAGTTATAACTTTTTATAGTTATAACTTTTTTGTAGGTATAACTTTTTTAAGGTATAACTTTTTTGTAACTTTTTCATAACTTTATAATAAGTATAACTTTTTTTAGTTATAACTTTTCCTGGGTATACCTTTTTTCGGGTATAACTTTTTTGTAACTTTTTCATAACTTTTTACAGGTATAACTTTTTTATAACTTTTCCACTGTTTATTTGGGTATAACTAAAGTATAACTTTGTAACTTTTTTATAACTTTCTGTGTAACTTTTAATAAGTATAACTTTTTGTAGTTATAACTTTTTTATAACTTTTATGCACTTGCTGTATTTATTTTGAATAAAAGGTGAAAAGTTAACCAAAAGTTATAACTTTTTTGTAACTAAGTTATAACTAAATTATACCTCACTTAAAACATGCGGTTCCAAACTCCGATAACTTAGTTATAACTTTTTTGTAACTTTTTTTAGTTACAAAAGTTATAACTAAGTTATAACTTTTTTCGGTATGGGTATGCAAATGAGCTAATAAAAATACATTAGTTGTATATTTTATATACAGAGAAAGTTCAAATTGATTTTCTTATTAATACTTAGTACCCACGGCATGTTTAGAGCTATTCTCTGGAACCACTTAAACTTTGTTCCGATGCAGGGTCACAGATTTTGATGAAACTTCAAGGTTTATTAGTTCATGGGGCATAACTTTTTGGGTAAGGCCATAATAAATAAATTGCTAGATTCTCATCCGAATTTTTTTAAAAATCGAGGCGGGCGGGCGGCTTTTATTTTATATTTTTTATTTTTTCAATTTTGCAGATTTTTTATTGACCTGGTCTATCGGTGTAATTTTATCTACAATACCCGAATAAAAGTCATAGTAAAGGTTCAATTATCTCTTACTTCACATCATCACCAATCTTTTTCAACCAATGACCCTTGTTTAAAATATATACGCATGTATTACAGCAATTTCCATCTTTTCAGCTGTCAAAATCATGTCGACTTTCGCTGGATTTAAAACGAAAGTAGAATGGTAGATGAATACTGATCCCGATCAGAATTAAGATGAAGAAAAACAGAAATAAAAAAAATCGAGGCAGGGGTATAAAATCGGGGCGGGCGGGGATGAGAATCTAGGAATATTTTATTATGGCCTAACTTATATATACAGAAGATTCCGTTTATATTGAAAAATAATTGTTATTGTGTATGTAAATCATGCGTAAGGGTGACCCATGAAACTGATGAACATTGGTCCCACACAAACAATAATGATAACACAGTAATCCCATGTGGTTCTTGACAAGAAGATTTTTAAATAATCCCAACAAAATTTCACTATTGTTTGATAATCTTCCCTTAAAAGAGGGTGTGATCCTTCAATTGATAAAAATTGTTCAATTCCCTTTACCCAAGGATACCCTGTGCCAAGTTTGGTTGAAATCAGCCTAGTGGTTCTGGAGAACGTGAGAATATGAAAAGTTGATGACAATGATGACAACGACAGGCAGTCAAAAAATTTTGATTAGATAAGCTCACTTTAGCAAAATTTGGCTCAGGTGAGTTTTACTAACCTGAGGGAAAATGATTTCCTCTAAATTTTTCTTTTCAAACAGGTCCACATACTGGGAAAAGTAGTTCAACAATATCATTCTGATGTAGTAATCATGGCAGTGAAACATTTTAATCAGCTCTGGTATCACATATCTCTGATAGGTTGGCACAGATAACAAGGGAGATAGCCTCTGAGATTTAATTTCAAATTTCTCATGCGTACCTATAAAATAAAACTCTGGAGTTTTAGTGCTTTTTGAGATTCTTCTTATAATCGCTTTATTTAAAAATTCATACAATTTTTGCTCAATACAGAAGCTAATAAAACTTAGCGATGGTAAAATTTCAGTTAAAATTGTCTAATTTTAGCAGCAAGGTCATTATGTTTTCCCTTGATATTGAGAATTAAAAAATTACTATATGCTCACTTCAATTCAAAAAAAATATTATACATGTATGTTCATCTTTTTGCAAAATTGATTACTCTAAAAATACTCAATGGCCAACTTTTTCCAATGCCAACTTTCTTTCATTTCCAATTTTTTTGGCATACAATACTACATTACTACATTTCCTTGATATCAATTTCCTGTGGTAAGAAGTGGGGAGGCCAATCAACCTTTCAATGAACATTTTAAATAGTAAAGGTAATGAAAAAAAGTGTTGGGGGGGGGGGGCTGTTGCTACGTGCCTGCTAGCTGAGAAAAAAATTTGGTTTCTGGGGCCAAAATAAAAAATACCTTTGTTTCCCCTAACGCAACCGACCCAATTAAATCGCGCCGACTGAAAAGATTTTTTAAATGAAAGAAAAAGTGAGCAAGCTCACATACCCCACGCTCCCCCAAAACTCAAAGTGCTGAAAATCCCGGAAAAAATGAAAGAATCCGAATTTCCCAGTAATATGCACATCTACAAATTGTGTCCTAAATATCTGCAAAGTTTGATGAAATGCTGTGCAGCGGTTTATGAGGAGTAAAATGCGCTGACAAACTGTTCAACACTATATTCAAGATATCCCCAAAAATCTAAGTTGTAAAGTGCCAAAAATCCCAGAAAAATAAAGGAATCGGAATTTCCTGGTAAAATGCAGCACATCTATACATTGTGTCCTAAATATCTGCAAAGTCTGATGAAATTCTGTGCAGCGGTTTATGAGGGGTCACGCTGACAAAATGTTCATCTCTATATTCAAGGTATGGCAAAAATCTAATTTGAAAAGTGCCAAAATTCCCAGAAAAATAAAGGAATCGAAATTTCCTGGTAGTATGCACATCTACACATTGTGTCCTAAATATCTCCAAAGTCTGACGAAAATCTGTGCAGCGGTTTATGAGGAATTGCACTGACAAAATGTTCGTCTCTAAATTCAAGGTATGGCCAAAAATCTAAGTTGAAAAGTGTGGAAATTCTAAGAAAAAATAAAGGAATTGGAAATTCCTGGTAATATGCACATCTACACATTGTGTCCTAAATAGCTGCAAAGTTTGACGAAATTCTGTGCAGCAGTTTATAAGGAGTAAAATGCGCTGACAAACTATTCATCTCTATATAAAAGGTATGGCCAAATGCCTAAGTTAAAAAGTGCGGAAATTCCCGGGAAAAATAACGGAATCGGAATTTCCTGGTAATATGCACATCTACACATTGTGTCCTAAATATCTCCAAAGTCTGACGAAAATCTGTGCAGCGGTTTATGAGGAGTTGCGCTGACAAAATGTTCATCTATATATTCAAGGTATGGCCAAAAGTCTAAGTTGAAAAGTGTGGAAATTCTATGAAAAATAAAGGAATCGGAATTTCCTGGTAATATGCACATCTACACATTGTGTCCTAAATACCTGCAAAGTTTGACGAAATTCTGTGCAGCAGTTTATGAGGAGTTGCGCTGACAAAAAAAAAAGGACTGACTGACTGACACTCTGACGGACGGGTCAAAAACATTATACCTCACGCAACTAGTTGCGTGGGGTATAATAAGATTCAAATATTTTTTTTAATTGTTAACCAAGTTTTATAAAATAGTTTTAAAAATTCATCAAAATAAGTTTTTATAAGAACGACCAACACTGTTCTACTGTGATTTTCAATCATTTGTTGGAAACAAAATTGACATCCAGGTGTGATTACAGGTCCCGGGATCATGAAACATCTTAAGCTTAAGTCAAAATCTTAAAGCCCACCTCATGAACAGATGAGGGACCCACCTAGTGAACACACCATTCAATTTCACTGTATTTTATTTAATTTGAGTTTTGATCTGATAACCAGTTCAGCTATGTTCCTATGTTTACTATATGCCATTATAGAACCATAGGAATTGTTGTAAAAATGTTTGCATATTCATTCAGACATCCTTTCTTCATGCCTTTATTCATGGATTAAACTTCGTGACTATGAAATTGTATATAACATTTTTATCATTTGTAGATTTGATTTGGTTCAATTAGATTGGTTATTTCCTTGCTTTTTATCCCTTCAAGATTTGTTGGGACGACATTTAAACATTTCCCCATTGCTCCAAATTTAGAAGTACTGAGCACTTTTTTGCCATTAAGCAGTGGGGGTCTTTTTTGAGCAAGCATCTTCAGCAACACTGGACATAAGTTTTTATGTCCCTTTTGAAGGACCATTTTCAACGTTCCTAGGGAGGGATATGAACCTGCGATTTAAAGTCAGCCACTTAATTCTTGATTTGAAAGCAAAATGCTCTAGAGCCACTGCAAATCTCATGGCCCTCAAAAAAGTGTACATTGATTGTCTATAAGCACTGGAGGTTGATGGAAGGTTTAAAAAATATGTACTGGTCTTTGCGTATTTGAGAATCTTGTCTTTTTTATTCAATTTATATAAATGTGCTGGCATGAGATATTTCACAAATTCAACTAAATGCAACAGTTTTTAATTAATTTAATCATGAATTTTGCTTTTAAACAGCATACTTAGCATTTTGTTCACAAATAGTTTTCTTTTGTGTTTTTCTTATTTATAAAGGTAATTTTCCATTAAAGTTTCGAATGTATTTTAAAAGCTGCTGTCAGAAAACATAATTGTTTACCTACCTAATGACCCAACTTGAGTATTTAGGTTCGGGTTAGGGGAAACAGAGATATTTTTAATTCCGGCCTGGAGATTTGATATTTATATGGCCATTGGGTGTAAATATCTGTGAAAATCTGTCAATACTTTATTTTTCCATATCTACAGTTCAGCTGCTATGAGTAAACGTTTTTCTATCTACATGTATACACGTGTTATGATAACTTATGATAATTTATGATATCAAAAAATGATAATTCAATGCTTAAATAATATAACGTAATTTTTAAGATTTTTAATGAAGGTTTAACAATTGACAAGAAACCAGGGATTATAGATAATGCCTTATTGAGACCTTATTCTAATCTTTTCAAGTCATGTTTGTTCAAGGTAGACTTGTTAAATACCTATTTTACATGTATACCTAAATATGCATAAAATTTATAAATGGTTTTATTGAGCAAAAAAGTATAAAAATCATGTTTTATTTATGTTCTCTTGAGTTTGAATGTCACTAATCTGATTGGTCAGAAGCATTAGAAGTTTGAATATTTTTAGCAAGTAACACTGCTTTTACCTCTTTTCGGAACAAGTATATTAGGAACTATTGTACTGGCAGCTGATGTATCCAGCAAAACAAATCTGCTCAACAATAAATGGACAAGTTGTTTGCCAACTACTTCCTCTGGTAGAGTGGTCAATCGGGGATACAAACAGCTACAAAACAAGTATATATATAAATATATATACATACTAATTTTAATTTTGGAGAATGATCGAAGAATGAAAGACGTATTTAGTAAATTTCAGTTAATCAAAAGTAAACAACAGTGCCCCCACCCCCCAAAAAAGTTATAACTTTAATAGTTATAACTTTTGTAACTATAAAAGAAGTTACAAAAAAGTTATAACTAAGTTATCAGAGTTTGGAACTGTCTGTTTTAAGAAAGTTATAACTTTTGTATATCTTTTCACCAGCTTTTATTTAAGATAAATACAGCAAGTGCATTAAATTTACAAAAAAGTTATAACTACAAAAAATTATACTTATTAAAAGTTATCAAAAAAGTTACAAAGTTATACTTAAACAGTGGAAAAAGTTACAAAAAAGTTATACTCCCAAAAAGTTATGAAAAAGTTACAAAAAAGTTGTACCCGAAAAAGTTATAACCATGAAAAAATATAACTATAAAAAGTCATACCTATTAATAAAAACTTTTGTAAAAGTTTTAGTAAAATTATACACTTTATGTTAACCCGTTGTAGATTTACTCAATTATTTAAGAAATAAGGTATCATTTTTAAACATCTATCAGGAAATAAATACAGGTTGGTCACGAGATTAAATTGAAGGGCTTTAATATGATGAATTTAATCTCGTATCAACCCATATTTATCGCTTGATAGACATTTCAAAATGATACCTTATTAGTTATATTTACATTTGTGTATTCATACTTTATATTAGCCTGATTGTGACTTTTAACACGTTCTGCTTTCCCATTTTTCCATTCGCTCACCGTGCATTCAGCATGCATTCACCATTCCTTCAGCATGCGTTCACCATTTGCTCTCCGTTCACAGTTTTGCATTCATCGTTCACGTTGTGCTCATTTTGATAGTGTGTTTTAAAAAGAAGACCAATTGTTTAAAATGTAATACATTAGATTTTTTTCTACTTTACGTATACATTGGTATATAAAGCCTATTATCAGAGAGGGAAAATTCCTTCCATCACCATAACTACAGTCTTCGAAATAACCTGGGGGCCCCATGCCCGGGATCTGGTAAATTTGCAAGCGGGCACGTGAAAATTCTAAAATTACATGCCCAAAGGGCATGTGTGAATTTTCTTCCGATTCACAATGTTTACTTGCCATTTCTTCTGTCGTACCCCAGTAATTCGCGTAAACTTGCTATGTAATGTCTTAGATGAATTGTCAGTCTACATTTGTCTTGCCTTACATTCTCGATACGACCTGTCAAATGATTATCAATCGTAATCATTAAAGTGTTTGATTTTAACCTATTTGTTTTCTCAAAGTTTCTTGCTAAATTACGATATGTTTATTGATGCCGCGTGCAGTGGACTGCTGTCATGATCCTATTTCTGAAATTCAGTTCAGCTAATCAGCCAACGAAAGACCTGCATGCGAGTCAAAAGTTGTCAACAAAAAGTCAAAAACGCCTACGAAAATGGCAGACAGACAGTCCATGGTTGATTTAAAATTCTGAAAACAATTTAAACTTAAGATCGAGAGAATTTAAAAACAGAAACACTGTCCTTATAGTTAATATAAAACCTTATTTTTTGTTGCACAATCATATATGCTATATGAATGAATTTTGAGTAGGGCATGTACAAATTTCAGTGGGCTGGGTTAAAATGATCGGTATACATGCCTGAAGGGCAAGTGCTGAAAAACAATTGTTGTGAAGACTGTAACTAAATAATGTTTCCAATTTGGTATGATTAAGAGCCAGCCCCCCCCCCCACACTTTTCTCCCGAAATCCGATTCTTAGTATTTATTTTCTGCATATTTTAATTAACATTTAATGTGTTTTGCAGCACAAAAACTTCAGTCTTAAAAACAAACATCAAAACTGTCATTAAAAAATAGTGTTTCAAAACGCATGCCAACAGTGGTATTTTAAACTGGCAGGGAGTATGTTTCAAATTCAATTTCAAACTTAATTCTTCCAAGTATATATTTCCATTATTTTTTTTCTCTTCAGAAATGTGAAAATCAGATCTAGAATGATAGGAAATAATGTTAAAACTTCATGGAAATACTAACTTAAAGCAACTCTTTGCCTTTGGCATGTTCGGTGAAACGAGATTTACACAACTCCACTGTATCAAATGATTTTGATTGACAGGACAAGCGCATGGACTTCGTCCTAAAAGGGCTAAAATCTATCTCTTTCTCTCTCTCTTATACATTTGTCTGTTCAATAAAAACTATGACAAATTATTTATTTTTCTGAAATTCTAATCTATTACAAATAATTTGAATGCCTCTTTCCCATCTTGTCCGAGTATAATCAGGACTGGGAAATGTTTACAGATACATGTAAGTTCAAGTTCATTTATGCACTCAAAACCATTTCAAATACATGGTACATGAGGACAATGAAAAATATTTACAGCATATAAATTCAGGTCAGAGGTACAAGTATATGATATACATGCATAATCAGAAAATGAAAAGGGAGAGAAAGAAAAATCAAAGTACTAAAAAGCAGTAAGCCTGCTTTCATCTAATATGGTAAAAAATTGCATAAAATGATGATATCTTAGTATGCATAGCTTAAATAGACTTTGTCCAATGTCATCAGAGAAGAAGCAGGCATTCTGAATTTTGTAATACTTTACTAAAAGTAAAGCCAATAACAACCCTAACTGATGTCACACATGTATGTTTCAAAATTTAAACATTAAATTTCTTCAGTTTGAAACATAGGTAATCAGAGATTACACAGCTCACCTCAACGAATGTTGTCTTAAGTAAGGCAAAGTCACACAATTAATCAACAAAAAGTGTACATTCCAAAAATGAAAATATTCAAGCAATTTTGATCTGATACTTTGAAATAGACCTATATAAAAAATTCAAACTACATGTAGTTCTTCTTCATGAAAATGTAATTAAAATCCAGCATCTGAAGCAAATTTGAGAGTTTTCATCCCTTGATGCATCATTTGTGCTAGTTTGGTTTATACAATGTTATGTAAGCCTTATAGCTTTTTGGTAATAGACTAGCACCCATACCTTTTACCTGGTCCATTATCTAAAAAATGTATGTCGAATTCAGCATCGGAAGTAACTCCATTAGTGTGCATCCTAAGATATATTGTCCATGCAAGTTTGGTCATTAAAGAACTCATAGTTACTTGGAAATGAATCATGCAACAAAAAACTTTAATCTGTTCACTCAACCAGAAAATGTAGGTCAGATTCAGCATCTGAAGCAAGCCTGGTAGTATGCATCCTTAGACGTATCATCCATGCAAGTAAAGTCATTATAGGGCCCATAGTATCTTAGAAATGAGACCTGCACCAAAAACTTTAACCTGTTTACTCAACTGGAAAATGTTGGTCAGATTCAGCATCTGAAGCAAACCTGGTAGTATGCATCCTTAGATGTATCATCTATGCAAGTTTGGTCAACATTAGGCTTATAGTTACTTGGCAATGAAACCTGCACCAAAAACTTTAACCTATTTACTCAACTGGAAAATGTAGGTCAGATTCAGCATCCGAAGCAAGCCTGGTAGTATGCATCCTTAGATGTATCATCCATGCAAGTTTGGTAAACATAGGGCTCATAGTTACTTGGCAATGAAATCTGCACCAAAAACTTTAACCTACAGTTAATTCTCGATAAACCGCCACCTTTTGTTATTTAGAAATCATGGCGGTATAACGAATTTGGCGATGAATTGAATTTCCCATCTTTTAGGAAACAAGTAGAGTTACCGTTCTTAGAAATACCATAAATTAAGTGTTTCTATTCTTATAAGTACATGTACATGTATATGATTAAAACATATTTCTAAATTTTAAAATACTTTAAGTATTTTTTTTATGTACAATTCCGTAAAACAAAATGTGCAGTTATGAAATAAAGACAAGTACATGTGCATCTATGTACATGTATTAAATCGGCACATCTGATTTTGAAAAAAAAAAACATGCTGGCTCTATCGCCGTGATATATTGCTGACAGTACGTAAAATGGTTTCTGAAATAAATTTATTGTTTATTGTTTATGGCATCGTTGTTAGTGAAACGTTCACAATTTATACCGTATAAATATTTTCAAGCAAACTTTGCATTGTTTAAAGCAGAGATCATCAAAATAATATCGTATTCGGCGTACTTTCACAACTACCCTTTCGTGGCGAAGACTAAATGATTTCTTAAACAAAACAACAAAACAACATCATTGTAACAGTTCATATTAAAATCTTTTGTTCATTTAATTCTAATTTAATTATTTAATTGCGTGTACCTTGACTGGCTTTGCATGCTTTACAACAGGGATAGCGTTTAGCCGCGCTTCACTGACCGCACGCACCTGTGGCGGTATATCGAGATAATTGACACTTAAAAATGGACGTTTGTTTTGAAAACAGGGTGGCGGAAAATTTGGCGTTATAAAGAGAATTTTATATAGCAGGAAAAACGTTCTTAGGAAATCATGGCGGTATTGCGAAAATGGCGATGAATCGAATGGCCTGGAAAATGTAGGTCAGATTCAGCAGCCTGGTAGTATTCATCCTTAGATGTATCATCCATGCAAGTTTGGTCAATATAGTGCTCATAGTTACTTGGAAATGAAACCTGCACCAAAAATTTAACCTGTTCACTCAACCTGAAAATGTAGGTCAGATTCAGCATCCGAAACAAGCCCGGTAGTGTGCATCCTTAGATGTATCATCCATGCAAGTTTGGTCAACATAGGCTTATAGTTACTTGGAAATGAGACCTACACCAAAAACTGCACCAAAAATGTTAACCTGCTCCAAAAACATTAACCTGGTCATTCCTCTGCTGAAATTGCAGCATCTGAAACTTTGACTGGTACAATGAAACACACTAGAAGCATCTTCCATGCATGTCTGATCAATATAGGACATAGAAGTACTTAAAAAGAAAACTGCTCCAAAAAACTTAACCTGGGACGCCGACACCGACGACGACGTCAAGGGTATTACATAAGCTCCCCCAACTTCGTTGAGGTGAGCTAAAAACACGAAGTGCATTTTAAAAACATTCTCTCTTGGTGGTGTCCAAAATTGCTCATGACAAATTATGCTTATGTTGCAAATTTAATTGTCTTTCATATGCTCTGTTGAATCTGAAATTAGGTAATGGTGAAGGATACTATAGCAAACAACTAAAAAAACATTATTAGTCAAATTATTTAGATTAATGCATTTCAAGTAGCTGTAGATCTTTAGCTGGCTAGTCTGAGAAAAAAGCATGGATGAGCAGAGACTTTGTAAATAAATTATATTTATAGAGATTCAGTTGCGTAGGCTCACTGCGGGTGTGACCTGTCAAAGTGGTAGCATACTTTCCCTAGGCTGCTAGGCTGCTGACCAGATCCCTCTTGAACTTTCAGGAGTCAGCTTTTCTTTTTAATTAAAATTAAAAGCATCAATCATCTATCTTAAAATTTTGCTAATTGCCAAGATTTTTCAAACCTCTTTCTTCTGTGTATATTTTATATATGTTGATTTTTAGAAGGTTCAAGAGGATCAGGATGCCTATAAAAAAAAATCCAAATTTTTTAAAATTAATTTTACTATTTTTAGTGTCCCATTATAGTAATTGATCATTTATGTTTGTTTGTAATAAATTATCAAAGACTGAGACATAATGTACCCCTGGGAACAGAGTTTTTATAATCTTTTAATTAGAGAAAAAAAAAAAAAGAGAAGAAAACAAACGTTTCATTATGCAGCTGTTATGGAATTTATCCTATTGCTTCCATAAAAATGTTACAAAAACTGTACAACTTACAGATGTATTCAGTGTTTTTATAAAAGCGTTTTTCATGCATTTCTTAATTTAATACAATGAGTGTCTTAATTCTTTGGCAAGGAAAATCAAACTCAATCGAGAGATTCGCTGATGTTTTGCAGTTGGTAATAACCTTTAACCCCTTTAGTCAGCAATGAACCCGTCTTTCCAGTGCCCCTTTCTTTGGATTTCCATTTCACACCCTGTATGACTCCGTATTAGGTCACTAACTGACTGTGTAACTAATATCCTATTACATGCACATGTTCAGTAACAATTACAAATTTTTTACAGGAATAAAAATTGTGTTACATGTATTAAAATATTGATTTAAATCATACATTATGTATAGTATGTACATCATACTACATACATTATGTATAGAGTGGAGCCTCATTTATCCGGACGCTTTGGTTCCTTGTCAATTTGTCCGGATATGTGAAGCGTCAGAGACAATGTAACATTAAAAAATTCTGTTACGATGACAAGTCGTCCGAATACTGAAGCATCCGGATATCTGGCGTCCGGATATCTGAAGGTATGTACATCATACTACATGCATGTATGATCATTTTAACCAGCTAGGACACTAGAAGTAATATTTGTAAATATTGTGTATGTGTATACACATACTCAATATTTATGTTAACTTCTAGTGCAGAAAATTTTTTAAAAATTATTTATCTTTTTATTGTTTATTAATATTTTAGTACCTGATATTAGAATACAATAGAATAGATTCAATGGAAGGAAAAGATTGGAGGCATTTCGAATAAATCGTTCATCTTGCGTTCACCGTTCATTCACTGTTCACTTTGCGCTTGCGTTTGCACCCCGTACGCGTTCTGTGTTTGCTCACCAGTCACACATCATTCACCAAGTTGCATTCAGGTTCACACATTGTTCACTCACCATTCACCCTGCGTTCGTTCACCTTTCCTTCAGCATTTATGTGGGAAAGTAGAATGTTTCAGGGAGTGTAGGTATATACACAAACTAGCATGGTTTCCTTGGGGCTTCTCAGCCACTGTGATTATAAGCTCCACCCCACTTCAAACTTACCTGAGGAAAACCGACCAGTTGAAAATCTCGCCTTTTAATTAAGTTTTTTTTTTAAATGCAGACAGACAGATGGCTGAACAGGACAAAAATCTATATCCCACAAACCTTCAATTATTGAGGAAAAGAACTATACCTCTCTGGTCAAATATGAATCAAAGTTGTTATATCAAATTATTATTTGAGAAACCTGAAAAACTCTTCCTTTTCTTTCTGTGACTTCAGTGTTACTTCAGAGAGAAACTTTCTAATGAGTAACAAATCATTCCTGAAAATAAAAGTGTATATTTCATTTCACATATACTAAATAGATTCCATTTTAGCTGCAAATGAAAAGCACTGAATTTTTTTTATTCATTGAGGGGCGTAGCCAGGGTACTTTTGATGTGGACGTCTGAATAGGTGGGGGGATTTGGGGCCGCCTTAAGGCCCCCAATAGGTGAGGGTCCAGGGGGCGAAGCCGGAAGTCCCCGGAAGCTGGTGAATTTCCAACGATTTCGATGTGCAAATTTGACCACTCTGATAGCATTTTTCTTACACTTGTTCAGTTTGTTACGCAGCCACATTTGAGGTCTGTTCTTTCCTTGTACAAAATGCGGACAGTCACTCATTATAAAGAGAAAGGATATGTCCAATAGCATTGACGAAACCAACCAAAACAATTTTAGACTTTTGAAGCTCGACAAAATACGTATGGAAATACACCTCCAAAAATATAACAAAGACAGAAAGATTCTTTTCAACTCATTTTCTTGCACATTACCTATGTACATTGTATAGATTTTAAAATGGATGTTTATAAATATTCACAAATCTGGTATCTTTAACTTTTTGCAACAATTAAAAAAAAACTTGTAAAATATATATATATTTAATGGTTTGAAGGTAGTGTTACGGATGTCAATACATGAGAGGACTTACTATTTTTTAAGGTTAAACTAAATTTTACCAATTTTTCGATTTGTGATGTTCATATATATAATCTGAATTATGATTTTTGAAGTCTCGCACGAATCCGATATTAGGTTTTTTTTTAATTAATTTATTTATTTGGAAGGGGGAGGGATATCGTCACAGAAGTTAAGCATTGCGGTTGGAAATTAATTTCCAGTAATAGAATTTGAAATTTTTTTATATTAAATAAAATTATAGTTTGTTTTAAGAAATTCGCCTGGGGTTTTATAGGGTGAAATCTACAATAGAGAAAGTCTTTAAGAATGTAATTACAATTGGAAAAAACTCAGCAAAATTCGATAGTAAACCAAAATCCGGGAAAAACTTTTGATTTCATTGAGATGTATACTCTGGTATTTTCCCCTAAAACTCATCCTGTTGATTTTCATTAATTTTTTTTTTCGTTAATTCTAAATTGTTTCTAAGTATTTTTAAAAATTATTTTCTAATATATTGCAAAAATGATGAGAACGCTCTACAATATTATGCCTGTCTCGCTCTCTTCTCTCTTTCTTTCTTTCTTTCTTTTTTTTTTTTGAAAATGATGTGGACGTTTGTGCGTACAAACGTACGCCTGGCTACGCGCCTGTCATTTACACTACATGTACATATTTTTGTGCTTTAATAAGTACCTCCAAACACAGACATTTACGAGGGTCATTCAAAAAATATGTAGACAATATTCCTGATCGTCATATTATTATTACAAGATTATAGATCAACACAATTTCCTCAATAAAACTCGCTACCACTCAAAAATTGTATTTTCCATTTTATACAAATTCATGGCTTATTTTTAAACATTTCCTGGTTTATACAGAACTTTTAAAGCTTTTTAAAGAAGTTTCCCGAATGCAAAGCAAAATTTTATTGCTACTGCTTCATGATGTCCTCCAATTTCATGTTTTTTTTGCCTTTTTTAATCAAATCCATAAGTATTTAGAAACTGCAGATATCTTTTAAACTGATCAATATATTACACTGCCTGACAGCATCTTAAGCAATTCAGCAAATCAAGACTTAATTTAAACATATAAATTTTATTTCTTTCAGCTCCATTTATTAGAGGTATGACTTTTATAGATACTACTAGAAAACTGACCAGTCAGCAAGGGCCCTGCCATGGGTAGAATTATAAGGGTGCAGCTTATGGAATGATTCAAAAATATATGACAAATAAGAAACAGCAATTGTATTTACATAAGGCAGTAAAGAACAACTCAACACTGAATGTATATCTAAACAATAATGAAGCCTGTGTTACATAAAATGCCAGCCTTCAATGAATGATGCTTTATGCAAATACATATCATGAAGGCTTGACCTTATAACTTCAAAACAAACAGCAGTTGCAGACTAAGGTTTTCATTAATCTTAAAGAGACAGATAAAGATAAGCCTTCTAAATTTTCTGCAGCAGACTAGATAATTAATCCCAAGGGATTAATTGTACTTCTCTCTTATCATTTTCTTCTGAATTTATAATAAGAACTTTTTCAGTAATGATAGAATGAGGTTTTTATCCTACTACCTTAAAAATTAATAATATTCTTGAATTTACATGAAGCAAGAAAAAAATAAATAAATAAATAAAAATAATATATATTTTTTCTTTAATCTATTTCTTGTTTTAAGAATTCAATGAAATCAGAACTCATTGTGTAGTAGGGCTGAAACGATATGCCCCCTCCACGATACGATACGTATTGCAATACTTGTGTCACAATTCAATTTTTTCAATACGATACAATTTAAGAACGAAACTATTCATAAGGTTAAAGAAAACGTATTCAGATTTAAAAAAACAAAGAGTAAAAGGTGGGGATGCAATAGAAATATACTACCAGGGGTATGCAATCTAAAAATTCAAGTACTAGCCCACGGGCTAGTGGGCAGCAATAAAGTTACTAGCCCCAAGTAAAAAGTTATTAGCCCAAATATAGGGACAAAAATTAAAATAAAACAAATGTTAAAAAAAAATTATTAATCATTAAAAAAGCCAGGGTACTAAGGTCAATCTTTTGAAAATTAAAATTTTATTCTCACTATTAAAATTAAATCATATAAAATTAATGATTATGACAGAAAATAAAAATGAATTTAAAAAAAAAATATCTGAAGATCTTTCCTTTTCTGATTATTTTGCACTAGCTCATTTAGAATGAAAATAAATTCATTTTGTTTTCATATTAAATCCTTAAATACACTAGAAATATATTTCATGTGAATCACACTGATCTTTCAGTTGATTGAGTGATCGTAAATAATTTTAATGAGATATCTGCATGTATTTACAATAAACGGAGGAAATTCGGATTTGGAAAAAAACGATCGTTTTTGGAAGTAAATAAGTCAGGAAGTACTGCAAAATGGAGAAAATTATGGAGATTTATTGACAGTAGGAGCATGCTGCCTGGAAAATATTCACTGGTTGGGAATTTGATAGCAAAAAATGAGTAAATATGCATAAGCTTAGTAATAATTCATCTGTATAATTTAATTTAATATATTATCGGGTATTTTTTTCCCCACCTTTAGTCAACAAAAGAATTTAATGTAACTTAATTGTAATTCATTGTCATTTCTTAACATTTGTAACCTTGACCTTGGAGAGGACTTATATAGGCCATGCCTGATGTCCAATCCAATTATGTAAGCTTACTTTACATAATAAAATAATGTTTAAATTAATTAAAATGAGTAAAATACCGGTTGTACTTTATGTATTACATGCGTAGTTATAATTTTTACTAGCCCGAATTTACTAATTTGTTAATTGCACATCTCTGATACTTGTGGTTCTGTTGATTAAGAACACTTTATTCGTATAAATAATAGCAGAGGCAGCCTACTCTGAAACTTGACCGTCCCAATTTTCTCCCTCGTGTGTGTCAAACTGTTAAAATAAGGTCGAACCCGATCTATTTCAAAGAGTTAACCAAACCCGATTGTAAAAAAACGTATCGAACCGAAAATCGAGATGGTGAATCGAAAATTGAACCGAGCACTTATATCGAACAATATCGATATTTCGGTGAATCGTTTCAGCCCTATTGTGTAGGGTATTTCAACAAAAAAACAGTAAAAACATTAATACTTCAATCCACTTAAAATAAATGGACTTAACTTCAAAACAAACTTCATTTGCAGACAGAGGTGGTAATTAATCTCAATGTGACAGATAAAGAAAATGCTTTGGATTTTCTTCAGGAGGAAAGCTAATTAATCCCAAGGGACTCATTCATTGCAGTATTCAGTTTACAATGGGAACATTTTCAGAAGTTATCTCTCTTTACCTATTAGTTCTTATATAAAGTTAAGGAATCTACCCCACCACCCCAGCTCCAAACCAGAGGACATAGAGAAACAAACTTAGCATCAAAATATGTCTTTTTTGCCTACTGAACTACCATACCAAATCTGAACTTAATTGGGCTACCATAAAAAAAGTTATTAGGAAAAAACAGAAAATTTGTGGACGGAAGAATGACAGATGGACAGACAGACAGAGTGATTACTATAGGGCACCCGCAAATCCTTGCGGGGCCCTAATAAAGTGAAAATTACAAAATTGCTTGATTTTGATGTTTACATTCACTGTGTTTTTCTACTAAGCCAACTGTGAAATTGATTTGAAAACCATTTTCGTGTAATACACTCACGTGTAGAAATATACATGGAGAAACATGTGTTAACATGACGTCACAATGAGGCTGCAGGGACGTTAGTAAAAATGCAGCGATATAGGGCAGCGAGAAATTCAAATATTGAGTATATTTTAGTTGCTTCCAAATGCTTAAAATGTATATATAAGGAATGTTTTAAAGTTTTGTGTGAATTATTGGTGTGTGTCACAGGGTTCGACACTAACATTTTTAGGCTTTGGTCCAGCTGGACTAGTGCTTCTTTACTTTTACTAGTCCGCAGGCAATTTTATGAGTCCGTCAAAAATATAAATAAATAGAATTAATGTTGCAATGTACTTTTTATACTTTTTTGAAATAAACAAAGCATTTACATGAAATGTTTATACCAAGAATTCGTTGAAATTGCACAATCAGGAACTACGATTGTATTCCCAATATCATTTGTTTTTCTCTATACATGATTACATCATTCAAACATCCGACATCATACTAAATCATGATCGCTAAATTGTTTAATTTCACACTAATGAGTCATAAAATAAAGTGCCGAATTGACTCAGAATTACCTAACTTCCCGCCAAAACCCTAAAAATAAATACTGGGTTTTCCAGTGAAAGTTGTCAAGAATTTGAACATCGGTAAATGTTGTTCCCCAGAAAACTTTATTAGTCCGTTCGGACTAATTAGCTACAAATTTTATAAGTCCGAATTAAAATGTATTAGTCTGAGACTAACAGACTAATATAATGTCGAACCCGCTGCGAATCACACAGACTTGCACATAGGCATATTTTTCATGAAGCGTTAGCGCACTTTATGAAATATGCCTACGTGACAAGTCCGTGTGATTCACACACCAATAACTCACACAAAACTTAAAAACATTCCTTAATTGAGACTAACGCGCTAACCACTATGCTACATGGCTCATGATGATTTTGGGCATTTAAATCATGTTTGTGATATGACCCTTGACTTAATGGACTTGAAGTATTTCCATACATGTTAACCTATTGTGATGAAAAAGAGGGAGATTCAGACCTCAAAAGCGGTAGCATTGCGCGCGTGTTGTTTAACGCTTGGATTATCGATATCTTTCATGTAATATACATGTATATTATAAGCCTTAAATGAAATAAGGTACCTACACTAATTAATCTTAAATATCAACAGCAAAGAAGAAGACAGAAACACATTAAGTTTGACATAAATTGTACAAATTCAAATATTTTTCATGCTCATCATTTTGCTTGGATGTGCTTTACTTAGCCTTTTGAAGAGTGATCTTTGCTGATATAGCCTAGAAGCAATAATTCTGAATGTTCATTCAGTTTTTAAACGAAACAAATGATGACATGGTTTAATCTAGATCTAAAACAAGTATCTATCTTTCGTTATATAAATAGATTTCCCGCGATGATAAAAACGAAAGTAGAGATGTGCCACATGGCTTGGTCAATCGAGTGATTTCTATTGACCTTAATGATAAAGTTGTGAGCTTCTGTGCTTTTAAAGACGATGTCAAATGTTTTCATATAATTCTTAAAAGCTGTATCTCCTTTTTCATGGCAGGATGTTGATTAATTTATCGTAACCAATGTAATCATTGGTAGTCTTGTGTTGTTGTCATTGTCAAATCCGTGCTTGAAATCTATGTACAAAAAAAGCGTTTGTATGATTCCGAGTCAAATCACGCGATATCTAGCGAGATTTCATGAGAGTGGCTTCAAAAATGGATACCCAAGCGAACCAAAAATACTGTAGACGCAGCTTTTGTAGAAAAGCGGTAGATTTCTGAATTAAATCGGTAGGCGGGAGATGGAGTGAAAAAGCGGTAGACTCCCGCCTAAATCGGGAGAGTTATCATGTATGATATTTCTCAGAAAGATACAGATGTTTTGTCATAAAAGTGTACTTTTAAGATATAGTGGGTCTCCGCGCCATGTTTTTGTGATCCAAAAAATGTATATTTATTGCAAACTTCTAGGATTATCTTTCAAAAAAATGGAGCGAAGACCCACTCATATTGAAAAATGTTAAAATATGAGAAAATGATTGTTTTTGTTCTTTTTAATGTGTGAATCCTTTTTAATAGACAGACATTTTCATTCTTTGCGAGATTTTTGTAAATTATAGAGATTTTACATTAAGTATACTTTAATATTAGATAAAATATATCAAATAATATTTGGATATAATTGAGATTAAATTTTCCACTTCTTATCTGTCGCACTATAGGCACTTCATCCGCCTTATCCCCCCTCCCTCCATCTTCTTTAATACATTTATACACAGTTAATTTTTATTGTACTTTCATTCCATTGTATTGTGAAATATCACTAATTTTTCGTTAGGGTTAAATAATTTCTGTTGTATTCGGGTTTTAAGAGAGACCCATGAATTCATGACCACCATTAAATGTAGAACTTAGTACATGCATTACATGTACTACTAAACATTCTCCAACCATAAAATCAAATCCCCACAAACTAATATTTTTTCCTTAAACCTTGAAAATTTGACTGGCCAATAAAAATATGCTATTTTACAGTAAATGAAAGAAAAGTGTGCATTCTTACCTAAATAACTGGTCATTCATTAAGCTGCTGATTTTAGGTCTCTGTTTTGGGTCTGAATTCAAGCAATTATCCTGTATAAGCATTTCAAAAGTCTTTGTCATCTCACCTTTAATAACAAAATATGAATAGGACTAATCATTGGACAAATCATTGAAAAATACATGTTTTCTATTATACAATTATTGCTGGTTTTGAGGTCAATATGATGATTTAGCCACCTGAGGAGTTGGGGCGAAGTATATATAAGTTATTTAACTTTGAAGGTGGCTAATATATAAATATTGCATGTAGTTGAGTGTAACATATTAAAAATTTTCACCCCAAGAAAACCATTGTCAACCGAGGCGCAGCATAAACCTCACCAGCTAGTCATATTAATTTGAAATATGTCTTAAATCTAGTTTAGTTAGCATGAAAAAAAAAATAATGTCAGGCTCTTTTATGTGAAAGATTTTGAAAGAATATCAGGGAGAACTGACAACTTTAAAAAAGTAAAAATGGTATTGGAGGGAGGGTTCCAACATCCTCATTTACAACTAGGGATATGCGATTTTATCGGTATACCAGTATATCGCGATTATTTGTTGCATGATATGTATCATGATACAGAGACCTAAATACCGGTATTTAGGTACATATTATAAAGTCCAGAAATTATTCATTTAATATTTGTTCAATCTTTCAAATTACATGTAGTACAATTATAGAAAGTCTAAAAAATGTTGTAAAAGGTAAAAAGAACATCATCTTACCATCCAAACATGATTAATTTTATGTTCATAAAATTTCAAAAAAAAAAAATTTTGTTTTTCTAGCATATTTTAAATAAAAATAAAGAAAATTCATTAAAAATCATTGTAAAAAATTGATTTTAAAAATATCATGATATTATCGTGATATTTTGGGAAAAAATCGTGATATATCGCCATACAAAATTTTTGGCCATACCCATCCCTACTTACAACCCCATCAGAAATTATATATTCTACTATTCACCTAATACTGTATATTCCTTATTTTTCGTGAGTATTTTTCATCGCAATTGGGCTATTCAACAGCAATTGACAAGAATAAGAATTCGCGAATGGACGGTTGATCAAGAGTTTTAACACAGATTTCAGCACAATAAAAATAAAGGTGAGTAATGTGGTAATTCTCGCAAAATTATGCGATAATTAATATTTAGGAATTTACAGTATTTTGTTGGGTACAAGTAAATTCGGCACCTGGTGAATTCGGCACTCAAAGAAAAAGTGAATTCGGCATCTAGTGAACTCGGCACCTAGTGAACTCGGCACCAGAATCTGGTAAACTCGGCATCAGATTCTGGTTAATTCGGCACCTTTCTTAGATAAATCAACACATGTGTTATCAATTCATTTTTTTCATATTTTTTTCTTGTGACTACTTTAAAATATTTTTTTTCTTGTGACTACTTTGTTGATTCATAAATTTGCTTTTAAAGAGAAAAACCGGTTATCTAACTGAAATACATGTATATCACTACATGCATTTGACTTTTCTAATTTACAGACACTTGTTTGAAACTATAAAAATTCGGTTAATATTCCCTTTCTTGTTTGATTTTTTTTTTTTTGATAAATTGTGTTTTGGTGACATTTCATTTCCTTATTTTCTTTTTAAAATTAATTGATTTAATTTTTAACGGGAGGATGCATTTAAAAAAAATGTTTTGAAAACTGGATAAAAATCATAAACACTTATATCTAAACATTTCAATTTTAATTGTCAAAGTCATTGTGTAATTGTCAAGAGGGGGACGGGGACGTGTCTCCCGTATACACAATGAATAAGGTGAGGTGTCATATAATGAGGGGTGTAGTAAAAGTTTCCAACAAAAACTGCCAAGGTTTAAATGTGTCACTTTCCTCAATACACAAGGCGATTAGTGTGAGTTGTCAAAAAATGAGGAGGGTATATACTGAAGTAATCCAGGCAGAAGTCAATATGTCACTTGTTCTGCATCACCCAAAGAAAACCAGCAATGAAAGGTATGTTAAAAATTGCACAATATTTATTTGCTTCTCTTAACGCATTTTTAAATTAAACAGTCTAATATTGCTATTTACAAGAGAGAGAGAAAGAGATAGAGAGAGGGAGGGAGAGAGAGAGAGGGGTTCGCCCTGTAACAAATGATTTTCAAAGTTTTCGTATGTGGAAAATACGGTCCTTCGTACGTGGAAGTTCCGGTCCTTAAAACTTTATGAATTCTTTTTGTATAAAGTCCGTTGTCAATTAAGCAGTTCGAATTTTAATTCGAGCTGAAATGTACATCATTGAATTAATTTTCTCGCTGCAGTCTTATTGTACTAATAAAATTTTTTAGAACTTTTTCACGAGCCCCTATTCAACATTTATTTACTTCCATAGCGACCGCTCCTCACAAAAACTTAAAATGTATTATACATTTTTTTTCTTGTTATCATTATATTTGTAACATATTAGCGTAAAATAATTCATCATCTAATTATAATGTTCTACACTCGGTAATAAAATACGTCTGGTCATTTAACATGTGCGTTTACAACCCAAATTACACGACCTCATGTAGATTCCTACCAAGCCTGCTGCTTTGAGAAAAATCTTTATTGAAGTGAAATAACAATCATTATGTCAATTTCTTTTCATATTGGCTAACTGATGAATATATGGAACATGATGATCTGTCAAAAAGTCAAATATAAATCAAATTGAATGTAATTATTTTTTTGTTCAAAGCCAAAATACTTGGAAAATAATCCTAATACACTTATATGGGCACTTGTGTGAGATTCCAGAGAATATGATGTTTCTTAATAAATATAATCCTATATATAAATAATTATGTAACTACCCTGGTATCATTTTTTGTGTGTGTTACGAATTTTTTAAGACAACAATTATAGGAAATTCGTACAAATACTAGTAGATCAGCATTATTTTTATACTTTATATATTTTTACAGACAAATGCAATCAATGCAACCAAATTGTTCGCCCTCGACAGGAAGCTGTTCAGTGTGACCAATGTCACAAGTGGCAACATAGGACATGCAACACTGGTTAGAAAATAATTATTCAATTCTTAAATATCAAATGTGTCAAATAATTGCAGAAATAAAATTTAACTGAAGGCAAGTATTTTGTTTTTATGATTTTTCACTATAATTTTGTATTTTTTTTTTTTTTTAGGAATTAGTAGACCACAGTATAGAAATCATGTAAGAGGCAAGCAAGAGTTAGAATGGACGTGTTCTAAGTGCAAAAATGCAGAGCCTGCTCTTCCACTTCTTGCGCAGCCCGCAACACCGGCATCTCCACCTGCACGTCCCGCAACACCGGCATCTCCACCTGCACGTCCCGCAACACCGGCATCTCCACCTGCACGTCCCGCAACACCGGCATCTCCACCTGCACATCCTACAACACCGGCATCTCCACCTGCACGTCCCGCAACACCGGCATCTCCACCTGCACATCCTACAACACCGGCATCTCCACCTGCACGTCCCGCAACACTGGCATCTCCACCTGCACATCCCGCAACACCGGCATCTCCACCTGCACGTCCCGCAACACCGGCATTTTGAGGCGGCACTTTGGTAGGCACTTAAGGAGCGGTTTCCTCGCATGCCAATCCAGGGTTGTGCTTTTCACTGGACACAGGCTGTGTTCCGAAAGGTCCAGGAACATGGTTTACAGGTAAAAGAAATTACTATTAAGTTAGCAATATTTTATCATTTTCTGAGAGAATGTCCGCGCAATCACGGTAAATTGAACTTATTTAAATCTTAATGTAAAGATAAAAAATAAGTAATAACTAGGAGACTTATTGTTCACAGAACAATAAGAGGTCTTTCCACCTTCTTTGAATTTCAAATTTCATGTAATATTTATCTCTTTAAAATTAAATTTCATCAAAAAGAAACCAGGAATGGCTTAAAAGAAGAAAAAAATGAAAAAATTTCAAAAAATTTGGAGTTGACCTTGACCTTCAAGTTATTTTCAAGGTCAAAGGTCAAGGGTCACATTGTAATTAACCCCACGTCTCTATGACGTATAGTTTTAAAGTTATAAGGTTTCATGGTAAGCACAAAAGAATTTAAGGGCAGTAACTCATTCAAGGAGTCACCAGATCCTTTCGCACTTGAACATTAAAGTTGTGCCTCAAGTCCCTTAACACATAAGTGAAGGTTTCATGTCTTTACGATTTACTTTTTCAGAGCAATAGCAATGACAAGGTTTTTCGCAAAAGGGGCAATAACTTTTAATAGGGTCAATCTAAAGGGACAAGAATGAAGTCTTTGAAATAGGTTTAAAAGTACATACTAATGATGCAAAGACATTAAGTATATGTTAAAAGACAAAAAAGATATAAAAAGAGCTTAATTTCTCAATATATATATTTTTTTATAGAAAACAATTATGTAGATCCATGATATTAAAAACATTTCCTTTTATCAAATTAATTTTTCAAGATCCCTTTCGAGTATTTTGTTACTTATTTAATTTTATGGAGAATGTTCAAAGAATGTTGTGAAAGATTAAAAAAACAGACCCAGTGTGTAATAATCGCAAATCCTCAATTAATTTACCCCTTATGTTAGAAAAATTGAATAAATTGGCAATAAAAAATATAATAAAGAAGTGAAAAGTAATTCGTATAAAATAGGTGCCGAATTAACTAAATGCCGAATAAACCAGGTGCCGAATTTACTAGGTGCCGAATATTCCTGGTGCCGAATTCACTTCACTTGGTGCCGAGTTCACCAGATGCCGAGTATACCAGGTGCCGAGTTGACTAGAATTCATTATGTTTACATCAGTAAAAGTCGGTAGCAGGTGTAACGAAAGAAAAAGTGAGCAAGCTCAAATACCTCCACACTCCGCCAAAACTCGAAGTGCTGAAATTCCCTAAAAAATAAAGGAATCGGAATTTCCTGGTAATATGTACATCTACACATTGTGTCCTAAATATTTGCCAAGTTTTACGAAATTTTGTGCAGGGCTTTATGAGGAGTTGCCCTGACAAACTGTTCATCTCTATGTTCAAGGTATGGCCAAAAATCTGTTGAAAAGTGCCAAAATTCCCAGAAAAATAATGGAA